ATTTACATGGTTGTAGATTGTAAAGAATATATCCTGTTTTTTGGAATCTGGGGCATAGAAGAATGGACTGGGGCGAGGGTAAGGGGGAGTCTTTACAACATAAATGAGAAAGGGTTACCTCATCCTTACACTGAGAAAAAAGATGAGATTCTTAATAGATAGGACATGTTCATTGACCAACATTTCCCTCACAACCCAAACCACATTCTTCTACGTCATAAAAGGGGAGCAGTGATTTCTTCTCTAATAAGCAAAGGGCAGAACTTTTGGACATGATAATCTTTTAGATTAGGGAAGAAGGAAGTGGTTAGGCAAGCAGAGAAGCTTATTTTTAGCCTCATTGGATTTTATTCCTCTTAACTCAAAATATTCTGCATACCAGAGTGGGGAGATTTGAGATCAGTTCTGAGAATCTTAGGGTGGTTTGATTACAGCACCTTGAATTAAGGCTGGGTAAGGGAAGAATGACAGTATGGAGTTACTTTTTGAAGTGATAGGAATATTCTAAGATTGACTGTGGTGAGGATGGCACATATACTAGAACCATAGAATTGTATACTTCAAATGGGTTGATTGTATAGTATCTGAATGATATCTTAAATAAAACTGCTTTTTACAAAAGAGATACCCAAGTGGCAAATGAACTTTTTTTTAAGTGCTCAACAGTATTCGTTACCAGCAAAATACAAAGTAAAAATGAGTGCAATAGCAGTGGTGCCAGAAAATAAAAAAGTGAGGAAATGCCGAAGAATTGGCAAAAATGTGGAGTAACTGTTGCTGCAAGTGTAAATTGTTTCAAATATTTTGCAAAGTGGTTTAATAGTATCTACTAAAGTAGGGCCTCCCTGGTGGCACAGGGGGTAAATCACAATGCTATCATGCTATCACCAGCCACTGCAGCATGAGTTTGATCCCGAGCCAGGGAGCTAACACACACGGTACAGCTGACCTCGCTCGCCCACTGATCCCCTTAGCAGTGTATTTCTTTTTTTTTTTTTTTTTTTAGCAGTGTATTTCAATAGATCTCCCTGTTCTGCTCCCTACTCTGTCTCTGGTGAATCCTCTCCCCATCCCCCACCCTGCACATCTGGCCTACACACCAGTTCTTGTATGTATAAATAAATCTTTAAATAAAAAAAAAACAGTATCTACTAAAGTATAAGATATGTACACCCTATGATCCTATATACTCCTACGTATATATCCAATAAAAATGTGTGTAATATATTCACCAAAAGATAAGCATAAGAATATTTGTAGCAGTGCTAGTCATAGTAACTGAACCTGAAAATAGTCAACTTCCCAGCAAATGTGGAATGGATAAATAAATGGAGGTATAGTCATACTATGGAATACTATATGACAATGAAAAATGATCTATAACTACACACAATATCAATGAATATCACAAACACACTGTGGAGGGAAGTAAGCCAGATGTAAGAGCACATATTATACAATATTGTTTAATAAGCAAAAAGTAGGCAAATCTATGCTTTAGAAGTCAGCATTTATTTTTGTCATTGCCTATCCAGGAGTAACATTTGAATATGTTTCTCCTCTTTATCTCACTGCCAGTTCACCAGCTTTTACTGAATTATTGTAGCAGTCACCCAGATTGTTTCTAGAACTTCAGCTTTCCCCTTCTCTACTCCATTCTTTATTCTGTTGCTAAAATGATCTTTCTAAAAAGCAGTTCATTGTCTAACTTCTCCATACTTTCTCAATCTAACTTCTAGGACACACACACACACACACACACACACACACACACTACTCCAAGTTCACTGAACTACTTAGTGAAATGTCATGCTTTCTTCCACTTCTTTGCTTTTCCCCTGTAGCTCCCTTTGCCCAAATCTGCTGCTTCGTTCACATTCTGGTTTTTGCCTATCCATTTCAGACTTCAAACCTGAGAAGTTCTTTCTGGCCATCTCTTTACCTCAGTCTAGGAAGAGGCCTCTCTTATGCACTACCATAGCTTTTTGTATTTATTGTCATTTTTGTCACACTGCATGGAAACTGTTACCTATTTTCCCCCTCCCTAAGTCTGTGAGTCCGTTGAGAATAGAAACCTCATTTCATTTATCTTTGCATTTCCAGGCCTGATAAAGTACCTGACATATAATAAATGTATGCATTGAGTACAATAGTCCCTTGGTATCTGTGGGAGATTGGTTCAAAGACTGCTGCAGATATGGAAATCCATGGATGCTCAGGTCCCCTATGTAAAAATGCCATAGTATTTTCACATAATCTATGTACATCCTTCTCCATACTTAAAGCATCTCTAGGTTACTTGTAACACCTAATACAATGTAAATATTATGTAAACAATCACTATAATTAATGTATTGTTTAGGGAATAATGACAAGGAAAAAAGTCTATACATTTTCAGTAAAGATGCAACCATCATAGGCTAAGCTATATAGTATGTATTTTTGTCCTGCAGTTGGTTGAATCCATGGAGACAGAACCTATGTAAGTACTGCAATACCAAGTATTACCTAATCTTTATAATCACCTTGTTTCTCAAATATGCACAAATGTTTACATTTCAGTAAATTAAACAATGTAAATTTTCTCTATACAGAGTCATTGATAATTTAAGTCATAAGAATATTCTTTCTCTCCTATCTGAAGCTCAAAAGACACAAGAATAAAGAGTTTCTGTAATCATTGAAAAAGTATTCCACCTGCATGCAACTTGTTAAGTCTTTGGCCCATCTTCTCCATTGCACTCTTTTAGGAGCCATGGAGCCAAATGTAGCAAAGAACAAAGCTTTTAGAAAGTGGGAGGGGCCTTTGTGACTGCTCTCTTTAGAGTTCTCTCTGTTCTCTTCCCATGATACATGAGGGGTAAGGCAGGCTTGGGGGGTGACCTCTTTTGGGAGTGCTCCCCCTTCTTTCCCTCTGGGAACTCCTAGGAGGACCAGGCAGAGTGTGAGGTGCAGAAGACAAGGAATGAACAGTTTATGCAAGTGTTGGCCCTGGGCTTAGGGAAATATTTCTATATCACACACTTGCTTTTCTCTGACTTTCTGGGCAGAGTTTACAACTCAAGGAGCAAAACTGGTGTGTGAAGATCCAGGTAAAAGGTATAATTACCTAGGGATTCTTCTGCTTAAATATCATTCCTCTCCTGCCCCCACCCCTTTGCTTCTGAATCTGTTTCCAAAACAAAAACATCAGTCCAAGAAAGAGTTTGCACAGGATCGGTATCCCATGTAGAAAAAGGCTGGGGGATTCACGAAGGAGAAAACAGGCAGTTTCTTGTTATCTATCTCTGTCTGCCTTGCAGTGAGATGCTGACTGAACATTACGAACATTAGAATTCACTCTGACCCCTCGACCCCTCCCTCAATCCTTAACATGGTTCTTAGAGAAATCTGGGCCAAAATGTTTGAGGAAAAAGCCAAATGTGAGGGTTTTTTTGGGCTTGTTTTGTTTGTTTTAAAGGTTTATTTATTTATGCATACAAGAGCTGGGGTACAGGCCAGAGATGTGGGGTGGAGAGAGGACTCACCAGTGATAGAGTGGGGAACAGAATAGGTAGATTGACTGAAATACACTGCTGAGGGGAGCAGCGGGTGAGTCAGGAGAGATCCGTTGTGCCATGTGGGTTGCTCCCTTGCCGGCCAGGGATCGAACTCATGCTGCAGAGGCTGTGGATTGCTTCACAGGTTGCATCCCAACCCTCTGCGCCACCAGGGAGGCCCCCAAATGTGAGTTTTTGTTAAAGAATGATCATCCTCTTAAACAAAATTTTTGGTAGACATAGAAATATGCTCCAAGCTAAGTGTGTATCAAAGAAAAGAGAATTTAATTTTTAGTCTGTTCCCAAAGTCCTAAATTACGTCTTCCTTAAGGTTTACTATCCAGGAACACATTCTTATCTTTCCTGCATCACCCTCTAGCACCAATTCTCTGGAGAATGCCCTCAAGGGCTAAACAGTGACTAAACCCTACCCCTCCTTCAATGATCTTTCCCACAAAGATTCTTGGTTTTTTTGTGATTATTCCTGGCCAATCTTCCCCACCCATTTATTCTGGCACTTATGCAACTGTGAAGTGCTAAAAATCAGCTAAGGTCCAGACCTGATCCTCTGTTACCAAATCACTAGTCAATCAGAGAAATCAAATTATTTGATTGAATGAGTTCTGTTTTAAGAGGCAGGAGGATGCAGTCCAGTAATATCATAGAGGATTAAGTTCCTTTCCAACTTCTATCCTGGGGAAAAAGAACAAAAACAAAACCAGAAGATGACATCATGATAATCAGAAAATCTTCACAGTTAATAAGGAGTTTTTCCTATGTAGAAAAGACATAATCACATAATGAAATTTTTATTAGAGTTATCACAGAGGAGTCAGGTAATCTTTACTTTTGTCTTTGTAATTTTATATAACAAAGATGTAATAATATAATTATTAGGAAAAATTCATCAACTTTTAATCTGAGAAAAATAATGTTTTTAAAAATGACATAAAACTTATATGTCACTATTAACTATTTATTATGTGAACTACAGAGATTATTATTCTGTCTTCTGGAGTACAAGACAAAAAAGGAAAGTCTACTTTCAATCAAAAATAAACTTTCAAAAAATATTAACAGTAATTCAGAAGATGGTCCCCTTAAATTCTGAGGTAACTTCTGAATAGAAGCACCATGCCTCAAAAGCCCACCCTTCTCTCTCATGAGCTTACCTCATTTTTTAAAAAAAATATTTTTTATTCATTTATTTATACAAGCACTGGGTACAGTCAGAAGTGTGGGCGGGTGATAGGATTCACCAGAGCCAGAGAGGGGAACAGAACAGCAGACTGACAAAATACACTGCTGAGGGGAGCAGCGGGCGTGGCAGGAGAGGTCTGTCGCGCCATGTGGGACCCTCGCCAGTGGCCGGGATCAAACCAGCACTACAGAGGCTGCTGGCAGCTTCCCAGCCCAGTGCTCAACTGCTGAGCCACCAGGGGAGGCCCTCATGGGCTTACCTCATTCACAGGGATCAGAATACTGAATTGTTGCCTGCTCATCTGTAAAATAAAATGATATATATTATTACATTGCAGGCCTCATACATTCAGAGAGAAAATATTTCATAAACATTACTGTTCAACCCTTTTCAGGGGATCCCCATAGGTTCTGAGTATATTCAGAATTACAGGGAGATTCCAGTCACTAATAATTGCACATTTGTGGTAAATTATTAATTTTTAAAGATTTATTTTATTTATTTATGCATATAAGAACTGGGGTCTAAGCAAGAAGATTCACCAGAGACAGAGTACGAGCAGAACAGGTGGATCTACTGAAATACACTGCTGAGGGGAGCAGTGGGTGAGAAAGGAGAGGTCTGCTGCACCATGTGGGTCAGCTCCCTGGCCTGGGGATCGAACTCATGTCTCCGTAGCTGTCAATACCTTGATAATGCTGAGACTTTAACCCCTGCGCCACCAGGGAGGCCCCCACTTGTGGTAAATTGTTAATCAGAGCAAAAATATTAATAGTTAGCCTTTAGAGATAATGTGTCACATTGTTCTTTTGGTCTGTGGACCACATCATATAAAACATCTCTGGTGCAGAAGACTTTTCAATTGAATTTAAGAGTTTTAGATCATATAATGAATTCATGTATTACTTAGCTTGGGAAGGCATATTTGCAATACTAAGACAGACATTATGAAGAATGAGGCAGAAATATGTTGGGAGATGCAGGTAAATCTCAACCCTCACCTGGTAGGTAGTAGTCATAGACCTTGATGGCTGCTGGCTTCAGGTTGGTGACCAACACGCTTTGGCTGATGGTGATGGTGTAAGTCTGAGTCTTCTTAGTGAGCTGTGAGAAGACAGATAAGCCATCACCTTAAAACTAAAGTATAAACAACAGTCTATGCAATGTGCAGTTAAAAGGCTCTTGTCTTCATACAGAATTTCTGAAACCCTTCTACCTCTTCCTTCTGCCCCAATGCCAGTCTTGAAGATATTGCCTGCTGCTGACTTTGGGGCTCTTTCTTCCTAGGATTTTCCAGTTTCCTTACCCTTCTGAAAAATGGTTCCCTCAGTTCTTGGTCTACTTTAACCCATGGATCCTCCACTAATTGAAATGGCCAAAGAAACAAACACTTCCATTTTATTGCAACAGAACACAAGAGAGAGAACGAGGCCACGAGAGAATGCCGGAGAGCCCAGAAAGAGTGAGGACTCGCCAGGGGCTTGGAGGCCTGCCAGCCTCGTGGTACCCTGGCACCCCTGCCTGCCATGTACCTGGTAAATCCCAATAAAAGTCTGCAAAAGACACTGAGGGCTCCAGGACTCCTCCTTTAACCTGTCTACTCGGATCATAGAGATCCTGCCCTGTGCTCTTCCTGCCGCTACACCATATAACACGTGTATATTAACTATTGCTGTACATCAATTATATGGTGACATGAAAATATTTGGGGTACATAAGGTTGAATAAAATAAATTAAAATGAATTTCATTTGCTTCTTTTTACCTTTTTTTAAAAGATTTAATTATGCATACAAGAGCTGGGGTACAGGCCAGAGATGTGGGAGGTGAGAGGATTCACCAGAGACAGAGTGGGGAACAGGCAGACTGACCGAAATACACTGCTGAGGGGAGCAGCAGTCAAGACAGGAGAGGTCTGCTGCACCATGTGGGTAGCTCCCTGGCCTGCAGGGGATCAAACCCGTGTTGCAGAGGCTGCGGACAGCTTCACAGTGCTGTGTTTAACCCCTTGCACCACCCACCAAGGAAGCCCTTCTTTTTACTTTTTAAATATAACTGCTAAAGCACTGTTTATAATAGCTAAGGCATGGAAACAACCTAAATGCCCCCAAACAGATGACTGGATCAAGATGTGGTATATATACACAATGGAATACTACTCGGCCATCAAAATGATAAATGCATGCCATTTGTGGCAGCATGGATGGAGCTGGAAGGGGTTATGCTAAGGAAAATAAGTCAGAAGGGAAAAGATAAATATCAGATGATGTAACTCATATGTGGAACATAGAGAATCTGAACAAAGGGTCATGAAAAAGAACACTTACAAGCTGACCATCCATCTGAGGCAAACAGCAGGGAAGGGAGAGGAAGAGGGGTCAAGACAGGGGAGAAAGAGCACAAGGGTCTATGGTGATGGATCACAGGTGCTCTGGTGGTGGAAGAACTAAGGGGACTATACCTGAGGGGAAAAATCAAATAATTTCCAAAAATTAACACTTATTAAATTTTTTATTTTTTTAAGATTTATTTATTTTATTTATTTATTTATACAAGCACTGGGTACAGTCAGAAGCACGGGAGGGCAGAGAATTCACCGAGCCAGAGTGGGGAGTAGAGCAGGCAGAAGGACCTAAGCACACTGCTGAGGGGAGCAGCGGGCAGCAGGAGAGGTCTGTGCACCATGTGGGACCCTCCTCCGGTGGTCGGGGAGAAGCCGGGAATAGAACCGGCACTGTAGAGGCTGCGGGCAGCTTCACAACCCAGCGCTCAACCGCTGCGCCACCGGGGAGGCCCAACACTTATTAAATTTTTAAAAAATGTGGCTGCTAGAAAATTTTAAATGGCACAGATGGCTCATGATCTGTTCGTGTTAGTGCTGCTCTGGATGTGCAGGAGGACACTTGCCTGGAGGCACCATTCATTTGTACTTGTGGACACATTCTCTCAGATCTCTCCTCCTCCTCCCTGTGCGTGTAAAACTAGTGTATATGGATTCACAGGAAAGTCACAATGATATAAAAGCAATCTAGCTCTTTGGGTCAGTTTCTGAATACCTACCTCTTCCAAGTAAATGTTAAGTGTGTCAGTTCCAGATTCAACTTTCTTCACCAGCGGTTGTTGGAGAAGCTGAATTTTAAAAAGGGAAAAGAGAATAAGAGTCAGAGACTTCCCTGTTTCCTAGTGTAATTTTCTGAAGCTCTGCCATGATCAAAGAAACAAAGTATACTGTGGAAAAGGTGGAAAAGAGAACCAAGATTAAAACAGGTTCCATCTCATATACAGATAGGTTTGTAACCCATTTAGATAATGTAATCATGAGATATATACCAGGATGCCCATTCCATCAGCTTTTTAGTGATAATGTTAGTTCCCTACAAAGCTAGTTAAGTGAAGAAAACAGAAGTGACTTACTAACTGATTGGTGCCCTCTGTGGGACTGAACCCAGAAAGCATCGTCACTTCCATAATGGCCATATTAGAAGAGCTGCGACTCCCCACATAACTGAAGGCAGAAAGAAGCAAACTTGTGTGAATCCATTATTTCCCCTCTTAGCACACTCTGTATCCCCAACACACACATGTACAGGGGCACACATAAACATCTGTGCACTCACATGCACACCCCAGTTCAGCCTCTTTGATCCAGGTGCCCCCCTCAGCCTTCCTTACCTGGTGTGGATAGTGAGAGTAAAGGATTGAGGTGAAATAGGCTGCTCACATTTAGCATTTCCCATTTCCACATGAAGACTAAAGTTCTCCACATTTTTAAGAGGAATAATATTGTATCTCAGCACTGTCTGATAGGAGGAAACAGATAATCAAATCAGATCTGGGAAGAACTTCAAAGATTGTACAGTTCAAACCATTTTCTTTATGAACAAGAGAGAGTGAGAAAGTTTTACTGGAGGTGAAGATGCCTTCAGAATCTTCCTCCTAACAAACACTCGTTCCCGTGGATCTCTGCTTACCTGCACGTAGACACAGCCCTGGCCAGAGGCCTCCAAGGTATACTCTCCAGGGATATTGGGCAGAGTCTCCTGCTGATAGATCAACCGGTTGACAGCCTGAATGCTGAAAGTATGCTGGAAATTCCCAGTGGATTTCACAGCCAGGTTGACTTCCTCAGACGGCACATAGGCGATGGTGGCGTACTTGGCAAGAGCTTGGAGAGCAACTACAGTATCCTGAGGAAAGCAACCAAGCATGTGCTTACGATTCTGAGAGTCACTGGAAGTAACCACAAACAGCCTACAGCCTACACATCTGGTTGTTGTTAGCTAGCTCGGATGACATCTCTTCTAAGAACCACAATCACTAATGCTGTGGAAGCTGACTTGGAAATTGCAATAGCTGGCGGGTGTAGAAAACAGCCATCAAGGGGCCTTCCTGGTGGCGCAAGGGGTTAAGTCACAGCACTATGAAGCTGTCTGCAGCCACTGCAGCATGAGTTTGATCCCTGGCCAGGGAGGTGACCCACATGGTGCAGCAGACCTCTCCTGTCTCACCCATTGCTCCCCTCAGCAGTGTATTTCAGTAGATCCACTTGTTCTGCTCCCCTCTCTGTCTCTGGTGAGCCCTCTCACCCCCTGCACCTCTAGCCTGTACCCCAGTTCTTATATGCATAAATAAATAAATCTTAAAAATAAAACTGCCGTCAAGTTATAACTGAACATTCACAGGTCACTATGCTCATCTTGTAAATTCGTATTCTGTCACCAAATCTAGTTTCAGGATGAACTCTGCTTAGAAAGGACTGACTGGCTGTTGAGTATAAATTTGTAGTTTCCTAATTGGGGAAGAAAACAGCAGTAACTTCTAGTCCAATATTTTACATGCTCTTCAAAATTATTTAACTATGTCATTTTTCTCTATGGCACTGTTGGGAAAATGTTGGGATCCTCATAAAATCTTTCTTTGCAGGCCCTGGCTTCTTAGCCCTTATGCTGTGTGACCGTGATCTTCTCATCTGGGAATAAAGCAGATAAGCTATCACTCAGAGGACATGGCATCGTGGAGTTTGAACCTTTGCATTCTAACAACAGGATTTATACCAACAACAAAAAAGGCAAAAGGGAAAAAAGAATGAGGTGTTCAGCAGCATTATCAAGTCTAGCTCTGTGCACTGGAGCCAAGGAAGCCTTTATTGCTTGGACATGTGGAAACAATTCAAGGAATGGGGCCTCACCATCAGCAGAAAAACCAATGTGGGTGATGTGTGACTTCTTATAATAGCCAAAGATTTTATTGAAAAGCAATTCTGACCTATCTCTGTCACTGAGCATTCTAAACATTTCATGCACAGCTTTTTAAAGTTATACAATTATTGTGGGCTCAGCAAAATGAAGGAAGTCTTTACTGATCTTTGGCCAAGAATTTCCCTGAAATAAGGAGGCACAGTGCCATCTAATTGTTTTAATGCCAATTAAGTTTAATGCCAATGACCTTCTTCTAGTTTAGGACTCTTAATATCTTTACCAGACACTCTATTTTTAAAAAGTAATTCATTCTTCCAGGGATAATTTATATGTTATATTCTCAACAAGTAAGAATATAATCATTATGAGGCCAAGAAATATGTTTTCTGATTTAATTCTGTATCCTCAATCACTTGGACATGATAGGAATTTAATAATATTTGCAAACCAAATGAATTTATGACTACTGTCTTTGTAATCATCTAAGATAATTTTTACAATACTATTTGAACTTATCATACAATTCTACCCCCTCTTTTCACACTGCTATCCCACTAATTCCATTTTCCTTACCCCTAACCTAGACAAATGAAAAAATCTCCTGATTTCCCTGAATTCAGTCTCCCTCCTGTAAATCATCCCAGATAAATGACAGACAAATCTTTTAGAAACAAAATGAAAATAAATTAATGGCTCCTCAGAATTAGGCATAAATTTGCATCTGATACACAAGGTCTTTGAAAATAGGAACCTACCTTCCTGTCCCACATAAGTCCCAATATGTGTCAGTAAAAGTAATTTTTCTGACAGCCATTTTTTCACAAATGGGGGTCTCCATGCACACCTATTCCCTCTACCTTTGAATAAATGCCTAGCAAAATTGTATGTCTCCGTTTTTGAATCTACATCAAAATCTGTTCCCCTGCAAAGGTGTTTCTCATGCCACAAGCTGACATATACTCTCTCCTTTTTGAAATTCAATATTGTGTACTTTTTGTATCTTTTCTCTATGTTATATGACCAGATCCTGCTTTGAAATATATAGGACTTTTCCTAGAATGTAAACTTTTTAGATTAGAAACAATATCTGATGTGCTTTCCCATACCTGAAATAGCAGAATGAGATATATCCATAAAATATTGCTTTTATGTTTATAAACCCCATAATTGGCTTTCTAATTTGTTAATTATGAATTTAGCCATAATTTTATATATCCTCTTTACATAATAAAACATGAATCTTGGGCCTCTGGTGGCACAAGGGGTTAAGTGTCAGCACTATGAAGCAATCTGCAGCTACTGTAGCGCAAGTTTAATTCCCGGCCAGGGAGGTGACCCACATTGTACAGCAGACCTTTCCTGTCTCAAACACTGCTCCCCTCAGCAGTGTCTTTTCAGTCAGTCCGCATGTTCAGCAGATCCCCCACACACACCCCGCACCACTGGCCTTGTATGCATAAATAAATGTTTAAAAAAAAAACCCATGAATCTCATGATGCTTCATACTCTCCAAAGAAAGAGTATTAAATGCATATGGTAACATTTATGTGCTCTTATGACCCACTTTATTTTATTTTATATATTTTTACATCATTTTTCATTTTTGCACAATATATGCATTTTCATCTTGGTTATAGTCCCCATACAATTCCCACCCCCCTTGTTTTGATCCTATTCCCTCCTCCCCCACCCCGTAGTGTGTCTCTGATTTATAGTTGCTTGTTGATTTTGATTTTTACTTTATTATAATTAGTCTTTTTCCCAGTCCTTTATTTAGTCCTTTATTTCCCAGTCCTTTAAAGTGCTAACCCACTTTTTTTTTAAGATTTATTTTTATTTTTATTTATGCATACAAGAACTGGGGTGTAGGCCAGAGAGCAGGGGGTGAGAGGATTCACCAGAGACTGAGTGGGGAGCAGAACAGGGAAATCTACTGAAATACACTGCTGAGGGAAGCAGTGAGCACGACAGGAGAAGTCTGCTGTGCCATGTGGTTAGCTCCCTGGCTGGGGATCAAACTCTTGCTGCAGCAGCTGGCTGGTGATAGTTTGATAACACTGAGACTTTAACCCCTGTGCCACCAGGAAGGCCCTCTTATGATCTACTTTTATAAATCCTTCTGTATTCCTCTATAAATCTTCTAAATTCTTTACATGGTTTTTATCCCTCTCTATAGAATTATAAGTCCTCAACCTAGAGGACATGACAATAGTTTTCCCTCTATTTCCACACAGGTTCTAATCCACCTGTGAGGAAAGCAGGTGATTTTACCTGAGTGGAAGAGAAGCCCCCATAGGCATTGCGTTGCCTGGCCAACCAAGCCACTATGCCAGTGGCCTTGGCTACCTCCTTCTGAGTCAGTTTGGCTTTGCTAAGCCAGGTCAATAATACATATGCAGTAAGTTCCACATCCACAGCCTCAGGCTCAGACCAGGGACTGGCATCTAATGATGGAGTAGGTTTCTGGCTCCAGTGAATGGACTCTCCTACAGGGAAAAGAAGCATAATTAGGAAGATTTTGGAAGGAAATGACATTCTTATAATCATTTTATAAATGTTGTCCCTTAGAGCAGAAAGAATAGCAACCATATTTCTCATATTCTGAGAAAACAATATTTCTCAGAATCTCCAGATTTATTTATAATGTGTATGTGCTCTGTGTGTGTGTGTGTGTGTGCATAAACCCACTCATAATCCCCCAAGGTAAAGTTAGGAGCAACAATAAATACCTCCAGAAAGTCTTACAGAATTTTACTAACTTTCAGTATTTATTTATTTATTTATTTATTTTTTTAATAGAGGCATGTTTTTATTTATTTATTTATTTATTCATTTGTTTGTTTTGTTTATACATGCACTGGGTACAGTCAGAAGCGCGGGAGGGTGAGAGAATTCACCAGAGCCAGAGCGGGGAGCAGAGCAGGCAGAAGGACCGAAGTACACTGCTGAGGGGAGCAGCGGGCGGCAGGAGAGGTCTGCGCGCCATGTGGGACCCTCCTCCGGTGGCTGGGGAGCAGCCGGGGATCGAACCGGCGCTGCAGAGGCTGCTGGCAGCTTCGCAACCCAGCGCTCAACCGCTGCGCCACCGGGGAGGCCCTCAGTATTTATTTTACTTAATCAAAAGTTCTACATTTTAAGAACAAAAGTAGTCAAACATGGATAAGAACTTTGAGAAACTACCAAAAAAAAAATGCTCATGAGGCAAGTAAATAGAATGTGAGGCCAAATCAAAATTTGAACACAGCAAGATGTCAGGTAATTTAAAGACAAAGAACGAAAAATGAAAATGAGAAGAGTAGAAGTAGAAGTCTAATGAAATATAAATTTAGAAATAATAAATGTATAATCCACAGGCGTAATCTCATTGAAAGAGCATAACAGAAGACATGTGAGCTGCCATGCAAGATAATAGAGAGGAGGTTCCCACACTAAATCAGTATACAACAAAACAGCTACCCTCCTCCCATTGTCAGAGACACACCTTCCATGACTGCATTAACATTCCCAGGCCAAGAAATTGTGCAGAGCCCATATGAGACCACAACTCAGCATTTACATTCATAAAATGAAAGCTGATATTAAATTTCTGTCTGGAAATATAATCTTAAATACATGGCTAGACAAATAAGAAACATGAATATTTTATTTACAAGATCTGATAGAATGTCAAATATTATTCTAAGTAAGTGCAAACATTTTACAGGACCTTGAGAAATCGCCAAGTTTAAGTCTTACCCCATCAACCACGATGCTTTTATACCAAATAATTGTTAAACCTGCAATAGCTTGATTTGCACCAAATAATTGTTAAACCTTAATAGCATGATCTTATAAAACCAGTAAGTTTTCCTGGCAAGGTCTACTATCTCTCTTCACATAAAAGTATAACAATTCCTTTGAGGATGTACATGAGCTTTCCCACAAAACTCAACAATAATTTCATGACAGCTTTTACTAAAATGTATAGTAAAACTGAATATATATATATATATATGTGGGAATATGGAGGCTAGGGAAAACTACAACTAACTCACAGCGTATATTCTCAAAAAAAAAAAAAAAAAAAAAAAAAAAAAACCAACCCAGACGCGGGCCTCCCTGGTGGCACAAGTGGTTAAGTCTTAGCACTATGAAGCTATCCGCAGCCACTGCAGCATGAGTTCAATTCCCGATCCCCAGCCAGGAAGGTAACCCACAGGGCACGGCAGACCTCTCCTGTCTCACCTACTGCTCCCCTCAGCAGTGTATTCAGTAGATCCACCTGTTCTGTTCCCTATTCTGTCTCTGGTGAATTCTCCCACCCTCCCACCCCACACCTCTGACCTGCACCCCAGCTCTTGTATGCATAAAAAAATAAGTCTTAAAAAAAAAAAAAAAAAAAAAAAACTCCAGACGTGGCCAACATACCTGAGATGATAGCCTGTTGATCTAACTTTTCAAGAAGACTGTTTCTGATGTCTGTTTCCCCAGCCAGAGAGAATGTATACGCGAGTAGTGCCTGTGTGTACTGGTTAGTGATGGAGGAAACAGAATTCTTGAGGCACTGCAGACCCTGTCTCACCATTGGGTCCTAAAAAGTGAAGGCGAAAAACTGAAAGTGTAAGGCATTCCTTGTCAAGTGGGAAATGCTAGAGAAAACATGGTGTGCTCTTTGAGTTTAAAAAGCTGAATAAGGAAAAATATAGGCAAATTTCTCTAGAAGTAGGCATGATAAGAAGCATATAAAAAGGAGTCCTAGAGAAACTTACATCTGTAGTCTTCCCCATCTCCATCAAAGCTGCGGTGATGTATGCAGTTAAGGAGACTTCGTCATCAACACCGCCCTAGAGTGAAACAGGGAGACGGGGTGGGATGGGGAGGCAGCCACCATGTGAAAGAACTGTGTGCCCATTGCAAAAAGGCATCCCCTCTGAAAGGATGAATTAATAATAATTAAAAAAAAAGACTCCTGGGCCTCCCCAGTGGCGCAGCGGTTGAGCGCTGGGTTGCGAAGCTGCCCGCAGCCTCTGCGGCGCCGGTTCGATCCCTGGCTGCTCCCCGGCCACCAGAGGAGGGTCCCACATGGCGCAGACCTCTTCTGCTGCCCACTGCTCCCCTCAGCAGTGTACTTCGGTCCTTCTGCCTGCTCTGCTCCCTCTCTGGCCCTGGTGAATTCTCTCACCCTCCTGCGCTTCTGGCTGTACCCGGTGCTTGTTTAAACAAATAAATAAATAAATGAAATGAAATGAAATGAAATGAAATAAATCTTTAAAAAAAAAAGACTCCTTTCTACACTAACAGGAGTCCCAACACATGAGGGAGATGTCATAATATAATTGCCTTGCTAGAAGTCTGCAAGAGGCAGCAGAGGTCTTCATCTCTGGGTGGGCATTTAGGAAGCCCGAGAAGAGTGAGGAGCATAAGGGGTTAAAAACAAGAGGGGGTCAGGGTATAGAGAAAGATGGTCATATTTCCAGATCCTGTTGGATCTGACCCTCCTCTGATGGATATGCCATCAAGTAGTATAAGCCCAATCTCTTCTGTAGGGGAGATTGGAGACACCTTCCCTGTGCAAGATCTTTCAGTGAAAGAGGTTAGCTAGTTTTAAAAAATATCTAGATTATTATCTTCATTACAGATGAGAGGACAAACAAAAACATTAAATAGCTCATTCAAGATTAACAACTAAGCAGCAGCAGAAATGGGGCTTGAATTTAATGGGTTTAATTAGTTCCTGCATCAATCCTCTAAATTTGATCACACAGGTTTCTTCACAGGCTGGTCAACTCTGGTAAGAAAGGAGGAAAACCTTGTTCTAGTAAGTTCTGGTGGGTACTTCTCCAAGGTATATTTCCGTCTATATGATACTAGAGAGGGCCTCCCCGGTGGCGCAGCAGGTTGAGCGCAGAGCTGTGAATCTGTCTGCACGCAGCCTCTGCAGCGCTGGTTGGATTCCTGGCTGGCCAGGGAGATTCCCACATGGTGCTGCAGACCTCTCGTGTCACACCTGCTACTCCCCTCAGCAGTGTATTTTGTCAGTCTGCCTGTTCTGTTCCCCGCTCTGTCTCTGGTGAATCATCTCACCCTCCCATGCCTCTGGCCTGTACCCCTACTCTTGTATAAAAATAAATAAAAATCTAAAAATAAAAAAGATACTAGAGAGACTCAGGGGCACTGATAAGGTTCTGCATAAGGAGTACTGATGAATTGTATACTGAGATTTTACTTCAGTGCTCTAGATTTTCAATCCAGGCCCTAGCACAGTAAATAATTTCTCTAGGAAAGTCTGTGCAAATCTTTCTTTCATGGGGTATGTTCTGAATGGAACAAATTATTCTGCAGCATCAATACCTCACCCTGTGTTGGGGAGGGGTGCAGGTAAGGGGGAATGGGTGTCATCAGGGCCTCTGGAATCCACCTGCTGCAGCTCAGATGACAGAGCTAACACTAGCATCTAGCATCTGCTCCAAGTGACTTCTTTCATCTCCGTGCCTCAGTTTCTTCATCAGTAAAATGGTATTAATAATGGGTTACCAGTCCCTAGCTCAGTGATTTGCTGTAATATTAAATTATATTAAGTAAACAGTGCATGTCAGAGAAAAAATGCTTACAAAAGCAGTAACCGGTGTACTATCTGTCAGTTCCCTCCAGAGCAAATGACTTTTCTTCAGATTTAGAGAGACTGTGAAGGGCCCCAACGTAGTCTAGCTCAGAGGTTCTCAAATTTGAACAGGTATCAGAATCACCTGGAGCACTTGTTGGCCCATTGTTGGCCCACACCTCAGAGTTTCTCTCTAGGCCTGGGGTGGGAGAGGGAATTTGCATTTCAAACAAGTTCTCAGATGAGGCTAGAGCTGCTAATCTGTGGAGCGGGCTTTGAGAACTGGATTATAGTACCTACTGAAACTTAGGCTAAGACTGGTTTAGGTATTTGGCTAAGGTCACACAGAGCCAGGGCTGAGTCCTGAAGAACACCGACACCCAGGCCAGTGTTCTCTACAAAGTCAGAGGTTCGAGTTCCTCCCAGACACAGTGGTGGGCTCTAGGACCCTGCACGGATCCGTACCTTCATAGCTGTGTGAAAGAGCTTTCCCACATTGGTATAACAGCCACTGGAAAGTTGATTTCCTGCCATCCACTTGAGAGCATCCTGGATGTTCTTGTCATCTATGAAGATGAATTTCTGAGCTTGGCCAAAGCATTTGGTGACAAAGGCTGTCAGCCTACATGGGTAAAGAGGGAATTGTGGCATGAAGGGAGGTTTTTCTGGTCAGGGTACAATTAATCTTTACTATGGTGTATAAATCCAGAAAAGGAGTGGGAGACATAAAAGGGGACAAAAACTGGAAAGACACAAGGCCATGGAATAGGGTGAAGGCTGTACATGAGGCTGAAAGACCCAGTGTTAAAGAGGTAAAGGACAGAGTGAAAAAGCAATGCAAGAAAGGAAGAGGTCAAGGACTAGTTCCATAGGTCTCCAGAATAACACCTTGGGGTACAGAACTCATTGAGAACTGGACAAAGTTACCATGTGTTTCCATTTCCATCCTGTTCCCCAAAGGCACTGTAGGAGCCATTGCTGTGTTTGTATATTAGTTCCTGTTGGTACCCTGGAAAAACAGATGTGTTTTTAGATCACAGTATCAACTTCAAAAAACACCCCAACATTTTCAAGAATGTGGGATACTTCAGGGACTGGAACTACCCTGTATCTTTTCAACCTATCATAGCCCCTATGAAGGAATCTAAGAACAAAGATTAAAACTACTCACCTTTCTCTAAGAAACCCACTGCCAGAGACCTCATTTCCTCAGTCAGCAGCCCTGACTTCTCCAGGTACTGCAGGACATAGATGATGGGAGCAAACATGACCATGTTCTGCTCTCCACAGCCACTTGGCATCTGCACGAGATTGTCTAGGTTCTGCAGAGCTGTGCCCATGATGTCTCCTGGGATCCAAAAGGAGAGAGAAAGCAGGTGGTGGTAGAAGAAGGAACCCTTAAGTTAACCAATATGCATTAGCTATCATTTAGTGAGAACCCACTATGTGGCCGGGGAGACAACAGTAAGTCATACACAGTTTCATAGTAGCCTCAACTGCTCATAGTAAGACATGTCACTGGATCCGATGAGTAACAACACCTGTAATATTTAGACTCAATCTCTAAGTTCCTCCATTGCATATAAATATATCAGCCTCCAAATGACCAGATTCTTCCTAAATACATACAATCCTCATACCCTTTTCCATTGACTTCATAAGCCAGTTCTTGATGTGATTCCTTAACAACTGCATTTAGCCACTGAATTCAAGTCTATAAATATGTACTGTATGTCAACTGTGTTGCAGGAGCTGTACTAGAAAGAGAAATGAAAAAGACTTGGCCCTTGTGCACAAGGAGTTCATGACACAATGTGGAAGATAGATAAAGTGAGCTATAATACAACACCAGGGATGCTATACCAGAGGTATGAATCTAACATTGTCAAAATGGAGAGATTTTAACCTGAAAGCAGTCTTGGGAAGGGGGAAGAATAAAGAAAGAGCCTGACATTTATAGGGTTCATGCTATGTACTAGATGTTGTTGCTGGGAGCTTTAGATTTAATCTTTTCATCATTTTAAGGGGTATACTATTATCACAGTCTTACAGAAGTGGAAAGAAGGATTGGCATTTTGCACTTATTCAAGGTCACATGACTAATAAATGGCAGAACTGGATCTTAACCCCCTATGACATGATTTTTCAAATTCAGACTTTTTTTTCTTTTTTTCTTTTCTTTTTTTTTTAATAAATTTTATTTTTATATTCCCCACACAATTGCAACCCCCTTATTTTGACCCCAATCCCTCCCCTCCCCGCCCCCCCCCCCCATAGAGTGTCTCTGGTTCATAGTTTTTTGTTGATTTTGATTTTCACTTTCTTATAGTTATTCATTTTCCTGGTCCCTTATTTAATTTTTCTAGATTCCTGCTATGAGTGAGACCATCCGGTATTTTTCTTTTTCTTTCTGGCTTATTTCGCTGAGCATGATCCCTTCCAGCGCCATCCATGTTGCTGCAAATTGCATGTGTTTATCTTTTTTGAATGCTGAGTAATATTCCATGGTGTATATGTACCACATCTTCTTGATCCAGTCATCTATTTTTGGGCATTTGGGTTGTCAAACTCAGGTTTTTAACTCACTCGCTCTCCTTACCCACAAAAGTGAAGTATCCTGTCTATGTAAACATGATTATATCTTCCCTAAACTATATTCATTTTTTAAATTGTTGTTGCAAACATTTTGTCTCTCTCCAGCTCCACCTAAATGCATATCAAATTTCAGTGACCTTTAAGTTCCTCCCATCCGGACTCCTTTCTGTTTTTTAATTGGAGTATATGTCTAATCCCTTGTGAACTTTTACCTACAGGCTGTGTTTGCCGAATACATAAACACTTCTGCTCTACCACACCTTCCTTCAGTAAGGCCCACACGTCCCACCACGCCATCCCTTGGCAGCCTCTGCCCCATTTTCCCTTTTTGAGCCAAGAATCTCTGGCTGCTCACCCAGAACTGTAACATAAGCCTTGGTTGAATCAGGAACAACATCCTCAGGGAGCTCCAGGGAGATGGATTCTGAAGCCACTTTTCCTGTGAGACGCAGAGTAAAGGTAAAACAATAGAAGGTGGAAGTGATAGCTGTTCTCAAGCACAAACCATAGAAAACTTTTCCATAATCTAAGGCTTTCTGTACCCAGTATTTTCGGTGGGATGGAAGCAGATTTTTTAAGACCTCTTCACAATGATCCTTGCTAAAATAAATTCCAAAGAGAGCCATAATTGTGTTGTACACATTCTTTTCTTCCTCCTGTCTCTCAGCTAATTGGTGCCATTAGGGATGGTACCCCTAGACTGTCTATCCCCTTTTGTCCTGTATATCCCTCCTTTTGCCTGTGAAAATCTGTTTCCTAAGGGAATTCTCACCAACAACCCCTCTCTGTGTTCACCCACCTTTTGGGCACAGTAATGAGCTGTGTGTCTTCTCCACAAGGACTCCTTCAGGCTGACATGAAGAAAGATATAGATGAGAAATAGGTGAGAACGAGGAAGATGAATGTCAGGGAAGGTGGCACAGAGAAATAGGAGGGAGAGGAGTGGGGAGAGGAAGTCCCTTGTGCCTCCAGGGCTTCTCTCAGAGCTGGACAGAACAGAGCTTTTATTTGAAGCTTGAAAGGACTACAAGTCAGGGATGAATCACTCAGTAAAATTCTTTCTGCTCATGGGCTAGCACTAAGGACAAGTTTAGGAAACTTCTAAGAGGTAGGACTGACTATTTGGTTCTTTGGGATGGGATAAGAAATAAAGCAGCTAATGATGATGTTAGGGATTTAAATAGGAGAAACTAACATCATTAAGTGTCTGCAAGGGACCAGACACTGCATTAGGCACTTTCATAGACCAAGGTATGGGTTAAGCAAATAGTTAAGGTCAAAAAAGAGGTCAGGGAAGGAGAAAGGTGAGCTACCTGATTGGAGTTAGAATAAGACCACTATGGGAGACCATTATGATTAGACACACCAGGCATCCCCAGGTTGGTTGCTGTCTCTTCCACTAAAACTAGGACTGCAGAAGACTCACCTTGACTAGAACTGACTTGATGAGTGTGTCACCTCTGCCCTTTTCTGGAACAAATGGCTTCTGTCCCCCACAGGGTTCATTGCTATCCAGAATCTTAGTACTAATAGTAAAGTTTACATGACCTGAGAAGAAAGCAGAAAGGAATGCATTAGCCCAATTACCAGCAGTACCAATGAGGTCTCTTCCCCTCTAGACCAATGCTTCTTAAACTTAATGGCATACAAATTGCCTGAGGAGCTTGTTAGTACAAAATGATTCAGTATTTATAGGGCAGGGCCCATAATATACATGCCTAATAAGCTTCCTGGTGAAGTCAGTGATGCTGATCCAAACGCCCCCAATGACCCAGCATCCTGATATTTATCCTGTGGTGTGAGCCCCGTGGGCTACAGTTAGTGACTTGTTTTTAGTGAAAAGGATAGAGCAGAAGTAATGAGATGTCATTTTTAGGTTATAAAAAAGACTGAATCTTCTCTCTTTTTCTTGAACCATTTGCCCTGGAGGAAGCCAGATGCCATGTCATAAGACAACCCAGTGAGAGGTTTGTGTGATGAGAACTGAAGGAGACCACTAGCCCACAGCACAGGCTGCCAGCTAAGCCTTATGTCTAATGACCCATGAGGAATGGAGGTTTGGACGTGAGCTTGCAGGTGGGTCCTCTCTTGGTCAAGTCATCAGATGAGAACATAGTCACGGTTGACAGCTTGATAGGAACTTCATGAGAGACCTTGAGCCAGAGGCACCCAGCTAAACCAGACCAGATGACTGACCCATGAAAACAGTTCATTCTTTTGAGCCACTAAGTTAATGTTCATTCTTTTGAGCCACTAAGTTTCAGGATAATTTGTTAAGCAGTAGTAGGTAACTAATATACCCAAACACTGTACTTATGAGCTGCTAGGATGCAATCCACGAGCAAACAACATTCATAATGTTAGTGTGGTGATTAAATTAACTAACACTAGAGCAGTCAGTGCCTGGCTCATAGTAAGTGCTTGATTAGTAATATAACCATCTATCTCTTCCTGGTCTTTGCATAAATATGAAAAGTTCCTTCTTTCACACTTAAAATAGTTCAGTTTGGATCATTCTTTTGTTCATCTATCAAAGGATGTTTGCTTATTTATTTATTTTTAAAGATTTATTTTATTTATTTATGCATACAAGAACTGGGGTACAGGCCAGAGGTGCAAGGAGGTAAGAGGATTTACCAGAGAAAGAGTGGAGAGCAGAAAAGAAGACTGACTGAAATACCCTGCTGAGGGGAGCAGCAAGTGAGACAGGAGAGGTCTGCTGCGCCATGTGAGTTAGCTCCCTGGCCGGGGATCAAATTTGTGCTGCAGTGGCTGGTGATAGCTTCTTGTGACTTTGACTCCTGCACCACCAGGGAGGCCCTGTATTTAAAACACAGTCTGAAGGCAGAGAAAAACAAAGGTAAAGATGAGGAAAGAAGAAATAAAGCAAAGGCAGTAGAGGAAAGGACAGATTCTCAATCTCTGAGTTCTCCCTCTGTGCTTTCTTTACCCAGCTACCACTTCCTTCTCTTACCCAGTTTGATGGCTGTGATATTCCAGTGATAGGTTTTTGCTTCATCAGCACAGAGGCAGCTGGAGGCCTGAGACTCTGCCCATGATTCCACCTGGTACTCATCTGATTTAGCCAAGTTAGTCTGAACCTGGAGAGGATATTTGAGACATAAAGGGGTACGAATAAAGGAGATAGCACGCAGAGGTTTAGGAAAAAGTAGGGGCTGAGACAGTGATACCTCATCGCTTTCCTAGGGAAAATTGTCATGGTTCCAATTTAGGGACAAACTTCTGATGGGAATTGAGGGGAAGGGGTGTGGTTCTAGGGCTAATACCTATATCCCCAGCTCTTACCCTGATGCAGTTCTTTAGATAATTGAAGACAGTGGCAGTAAGACGAAAAGATTCCCCACGAATGACTGAATAAGGGAGAGTCAGGTCAACAAAGAATGGCTTGAATGCAGTTAGTCCAACAGTGGGTGAGAGACCAAAGCCCCTGGACTCTGAGGTGCAGAACATCATGGCCTTCCACTGCGTGATGGTATCAGGAACCGTGACGTGGACAGCTTCCTTCCCCGAGTGACTGTGAGAACCCAAGAACCCAAGTGAGACCGACAACAGGAAAAGGGGGGCATTTGGGAATTTTCATGCAGAAGTGAACTTTTGGCTGTATATTGAGGAAAAGGCAAAAATGGAGAAACTTATGAATCCCAGAGTGTGAGCCTTCAGGTGAGTGAGGATGCACCAATATGGGTGAGGAGGTGCCTGAGTTTGTGTTAGGGTGGGGACATGTGTGCTGACACTTTTGAAAAAGAGGCCAGTGTCCTCTGAACCTGAAAAGACACGTGTTCTTTTGGCTGGTCAAAAGGAGTGGGTAAGCAGTGGGCAAGACCTGAACTAATGTCGATATGTGCCCTTGAGTTTGGATGGACCTGCACTGTGTGAAGATGTGTGAATTTCTTAAGTTATCATACATGATTATTTAAGAATTCAGGGAAAGAAACAAGTTCTCCTACCCCCATTAAACTTTCTTGGCTTGAAATTTAGATTCATTAGCAATGATCTGAGCTCACTTCTGACTCCTCCCATATAACTTGCCGCATGTTCGAGATGTCACTCACCCAATAGGAAAGAGATCCCACAGCCAAGTCTCTGGGAAGTACTGGCGGACCTGAGAACCCTCTGACCCAAGGGATGACGATGATGACGGTGAGTCAAAAGCTACTGACTGACGACCACCAGCGCTTGCTAGGGAGATCAAGAATGAGGGGATTTTAGAAAATGGAAGAGTTCTGTTGTGAGATAAATTGAGGCAGAGGGACTACTCGGAAGAAATCCAGAGGGAATCAGAGAACATCCAGCTAGAGGTAGGAAGGAAGAACCACTGAGGAACTGTTTACAAGGCCATGCAGGGAAAAGAAGAGATGGAGACTTGACCAGGAAATGAATGGATACTGGCTTCAAAGGTCTTCCCCAGAGAGATCCTTGGGAAGATGTCTGCATCCATGACCCACAGTCCACTATCATTCTACGGTTAGAGGCTCAGTATAAGAACAGGAGGAACAAAGGGAGCTGCAGAGTCCTGTGAATCAAAACATCTCAATGAATCCACAAGCCACAGGGGTCGCTTACCTCCTTCTGCTATGCTGCTGTATTTTGAAGACCAATGGCTGCAATCTACTGGCTTCTTGATTTTGGCATTGGACAGCACCTTCAGGCCCATGTCCTGATAGGCATCGAAGAGCAGAAAATGAAGGGTTAAGGTGGTCGCCTCTCTTGCTACAAAGGGTACTGTTTAGAAATCCTCAGAGGGTTGAACCAAAACATTCTTTTCTTACTAATTGTGACACTGGTGGTATTACCCAAAACTTAGCTACCAAGATTGGTTCACTTCTGTTCCAACTAGTGTGAAAGGCTTTCAGTTAAACACATTTCAGTGTTAAATATGTTTCATGGTTCTTCTTAACAGTAGTCCTTGAGTCCTTAATTATTTAATTTAGACTGCACTTTCTGGGGGCTAGGACCACATCAGCTCAACCAATTCAACTAAAATACCTTGAGCTTTATGAAGCAGCAGGCAAGAGAGAAAAAACAGTGGTGGTGCCTGACTTCAGAGACTTCCTGGCCAAACTTTGGCCCCAGCATCTCACACTTGAGGTGATAAAATAGGGGTGCTATCTTTTATAGTAATGGTAAGAGACCTTGAGTCTGCTTTCCTCATTTTTCTTCTGGACAGATCCCATGGAAAACAATGTTTGGGACCCCAGGGAAAGAACTCGGTGCATAGCTCTTGCAGTGTTTCTCTTCCTGTGTAGTTGGGTAGTGTTTTCAAGCACAGGGACGAGGAGAGACTCCCTTACATATCAGGAGTTTCTTTCAAGATTTCGCCCCTGCCAGTGCCCACATGTGACTCTGCTTTTTAGATAAGGACTTTCCTCTTCACTACACCGCCACCACCAGTGTTTCTGTAAGAACAAAGTGGATAAAAACATCTACCCGGAAAAGGCTGAAAAGGTCTGTGCCTTCAGAGTGCCAGGGCCTCCCTATCACAGAGCGCTTGCTCCATTGCTCTTCAGGCACTGGGTCAATGAGGGGCTGTGAAGGGTCCCACAGGCTGGACACGGGACACTCGTCGTATTCGGCCACCTGGTAGGGGTAGTAACCATACCAGTATGGGAACATCCCATACACCTGAAATAAGAGGGGAAATAAAATAAATTACTGACACAGAGAAATCCGTTGAGAAGTTTCTCTAAGGTCCCGGTACCAGAATACACTACTCTCACATTATTTCTCTTCATTACTCCCCTCATTTTATTCCATCCTAACCCCTTTCTTTCTATAAATTTTAACTTCTAGTTGATCTTTCCCATAATCTGTCACCCTCACCTCCTAACTCATCTTCTTCTCTTATCTCTCTGCACATATGATGCCCTTCTGAAGAAATAATTCTGCCTTCATTTCCACACCAGCTTTTCTGTCACCTCATGCTGGGACAGCATTTCCCTAAGAGCTTTCCCATTCCCTGAAACCCATCTCTATTCTTTTTTTTTTTTAAAGATTGATTTATTTCTACAAGAACTAGGATACAGATCAGAGGCGTGGGAGGGTGAGAGGATTCACCAGAGACAGAGCAGAGAGCAGAACAGGCAGACTGACAAAATACACTGCTGAGGGGAGCAGTGGGCGAGACAGGAGAGGTCTGCCACACCTTGTGGGAATCTCCCTGGCTGGCCGGGAATCGAACCCGTGCTGCAGAGGCTGCGGACAGCTTCACAGTGCTGCACTCAACCCCCTGAGGCACTGGGGAGGCTTCCCATCTCTATTCTAATGGAGATTGTCTTCCCATCATCTCCCTCTGCCCTCCCCCCCCACTTCGGCAGCCCACTCACAGAGCTGTTGCTCAGCTCTCTCTCTGGTCTAAGGAGTAAGACACTCTCATCCACAGCCCGGACTGCACACAAGGACTGAGGAGCTGCCTGTAGCTGAAGTTCCACATCTCCTCCTGGAAGCTGCTGAGAAGGTGAGAAGCCAAGGGAAACCTGGCATAGGGAAAAAATATAATTTTGAGAACGGGTTAGTTTGGAGAGGAGGAAAAACATGTCATTTGGATCATCAGCCAATACATCCCAGCTATGCTACTCAACCTGCTCCTTCCTTACATATGAAGGAGAGAAAGATGGAAGGGTGGAGGGAGAAAGGGGGAGAGAGGGAACATATGTTATATAGAACATGTGATTTCTCAACATGACCAAAAAAAAAAAAAGCAGGAGAGAGACAGATTCTGAGAAAGCGGAAGAAATATATAAATACAACACCCAACTTCAATATTAACTCCTTATTTCCATGCCCCTCTTATCTCCAAACCCAGGGCACACAATGTCTCTCTTTCTGGCCAGGTCTTTCTTCACCTTCTTCTGCTGCCATTTTACCTGGTTGTCAAAGCACATCTCTACTGAGAACTGAATCTTGTCAGCTATAACACCTCCACTGGGAACAATGGCGTAGACCAGCAGGGAAGGGTCAGGAGCTACTCTGGAAGTGAAGGTCAGTGAGAGAGAGAAGGAGCCTTTGGGTCCTGAAAGAGAAGAGGGACATATAGATTGAGAGTGGACACTCACCTCCCAAGGACTTGCAGCCAGTGCAGCCTTCCTGTGTGAGTTACTTCTTACGCTCCCGTTCTTCTACGTTAATTGTTGGTGTTGTTCTGAGTGCTTCTATGTATAAGGACTGTTTCATGGAAGTTTAAAATACCCCTGTCCTCTTCCAAGAGAAACATGAACACTCACCTTTCTTCCAGTTCATCTGTTTTTGCCCCTCAGTCACCAAATTCCCTTTGCCTATTAACTAAGGAAGAGAAAAGAAAATCAGCAGGAGCACTAAAGTTATGGGGCTTTAGCCTTGACCCTTTTTCTGAGGCATCCCTGCATCTCTGCGTGAGGAGAGGATGTTTTCATGGTTCCAGATCCTGGGCCCATGCTTCACAGAGCATCCTCTTACTAGTCAAACACAGGACACTTCCAAGAGCTCTCATGCCCTGCCCATTGGAGGTCATCCTGGGCAGCAGAGACAGATGGGAGGAGACAAAGGTCCTCACCACCGTAGGACCAGACAGAATAGAAATCAGTCTTCTCAGAAACCAGGCAACTGCCCACCATTTCTTGAGAGTCTTCAGGATTTATTCCCTTATAATCTTTGTAATATAAAGTGAACTAAAATTCATCCTCACCACCTTTACTTGTTATCACTCAGTCAAGTCTATGGAAATGAGTATACCATAAACTCTCCTGAATCTTCTAACATTTGACTTTCCAGAAGAGAAACTTCCTTCTCTGTCTCCTGTTGAACTCACTTGAAACCCAATTCTTTGAAATTGCTTCTAAGTAGTCACCTCAGACTCCAGTCACTGGGTCTGTGGCCGGTTCATCAGACCATCGGAGCCATAGCCCCTCTGGTCTCATCAACCCCGACACTACTTTTCTCCTAGGCCTCTCCACAAAAACCTGTGTGATAACACAGTGTTAACAGGCACTGTATTATCACTCAGCCCTATTACTCTCCACATATCCCACCTCAGCCTTAGTGTCAGGATAATTGTTATGGCTTCATGAAGATATTGGAATGATCCAGTAGGGATCATTGAAATGTGGCTAGCCCACATGCATTTAAGTATAAAATATATTTTTTGAGTTTCAAAAGCTTGAAACTTAGCCGAAACAAAGATTATAAAATATCTGTTCATGATTTATATATTGACTGCATGTTGAGATGATCATGTTGGATATATTGGTTTAATAAAATATATTTTAAATGTTAGTTTCATCAGTTCTCTTCATTTTTTTAACGAGATTTCTAAAACTTTTAATATTGCCTGTGTATTTTACATTCTGTCTCTGTCTAGACTGTCCAGTCCCCCTCTCTGGCTCACTCTCCTCATTCCCTTTCCTGACATACTTTCACTTCTCCTCATTCCCAGTCTCACATAGTAGGTGAAGATAATGTCCTGGTTGGCCTGGGTGTCAGCTGGATCAATGTAATAATCCACCAGCACTTCCTGGGGCTGGCCACATCTCAAGGTGCCCTTCAGCTGGCGGATGCCAAGGAAGCTGTGAGTTGTATTGTAAAAGGGCCGCAGGTACAGGTAGGCATTTTGATAGTAACGAGGCACCTGTTCTGGACTATATACCATGTCTTCCATTTGGAACCTGCCCTGAGAGAAAGAAAGAGAAGGAGGTCTTTTAAGCGTGCACATCAGCCTTATTAACCCCATGGGTTTGCTATGATTTTTAAATAGACCTCTTCATATCTTCACTGCCTATAAAAACAACATTTGGACACTTCATTAGAAGTCAGGTCTAGGATGTTTGAGGAATCCATTATACTGGTATGTGCTGCAGCTCTTTGGTATATAGGGGAGTGAAGCAAGGGCTGAATTATAGGAAAAACATAAATGACAACTTCACAGAGGTCTAGGGGATGGATAAACATGACCAAGATTATATATCTCAGGCATAAAAAACAAAACAAAACAAAAAAACAAGGTGGGCTCTCTGGTGGCACAAGGGGTTAAGACGTAACCTATGAAGCAATCCGCAGCCACTGCAGCATGAGTTCGATCCCCAGCCAGGGAGCAACCCACATGGCGCAACAGACCTCTCCTGACTCACCCGCTGCTACCCTCAGCAGTGAATTTCAGTCAATCTGCCTGTTCTGTTTCCCACTCTGTCTCTGGTGGATCCTTCCACCCCCCCCCCACACCTCTGGCCTGTACCCCAGTTCTTGTATGTATAAATAAATAAATCTTTAAAATCAAAACAAAACAAGAGGACAAGATTGAAAACAATCTTTCTAAGTAGAGTGATTGGTGCCTAAAGTCAATGTATATATCATGAGCCACAATGCAAATTGTATGTATTTGCTTCAGTGATGTGGCTAAATGACTGCACTGGTGGCTCAATTCTTCTTCATCCCTACAGTGTGGACATCCTTTACCATGCAATTCTACAGTGCCCTTTGAGTCTGACATCGGGCCACCATGTGACTTGGGAATGGAATATGAGCCTGTCTGAGAAAACAGAGGCTTGGAAAAGCCCTTCACATCTGCTTTTCCTCTTGTACCTGGTCATTGCCACGAGATTATACCTGTGCTAGTTTGGGGGAGTATGAGAGACACATGAAGTACCAGCCACCAGCCTGCTGGTCCACCTACCTGGAGAGACATCCACCCAGATCAGCAGAGATGCTTTTCTCACTAGATAACAAATGCACAAGCATTGTGTGGCAATTGATAACTAACACAAGTAGACTTTTTTATACACTGTCCAAAATCTAGAATTCTCTTTGTCATTTTTAGGAGTAGTGGGAAGTGGAGGAGAGAGGAATAGGAGGAAGAAGATGACTCTGAACCATTTTTCTTCCTTCCTTTGATTTCAAGCATAGGATCAAATAGAGATGGAGATAAGTCATAAGGTAAATGAAAAATAGCAATTTTGATCGAAAGGGGCATTTATCTCATTGATTTTAAAAACAAACAGGAAAAGTTGACATCAATTGAATGAAGGAGATGGAATTACAAAGGGTGGGGGGGAGAAAGAAATTGAACAATTCTAAAGTATTTCTTCAGGGAAGCCTTCCTTGCTAGAAGCTGGCCCCCTAGCACTTACCTGCAGAGAAATGCCCATCCCGTTCCAGAGAGCTGTGTCCAGCTTGAAGGTGGCGAGGCCATCATTGTCAGTGATGAGGGTCTGGTTCATGGTTTCATTTGTGCCATAAATTACCAGAAACACTGGATGATTCTTGAGGAGGGAATCATCATGGCCCCTAACTCTGATCTGAGGGATGAAGGCATTTGGGGTGGGAGTTAGGATTGAAGTAGATGCAGTATGAGAAAAAGTGAGATGATGACAGAAACTCTAAGACCATATCCCAGAACAGAGTTCAGAAAAGGTAATTTTCAAGGGTAAATACAAGGGTGATTCAAGGGCAAAAAACTGGGATCTATGAAGAGCTGAGAAACAAAAGTAGTTTATCCTGGAACAGAAGCATGTATGCTAAGCAGTTAATGGAACTTTAAGAGCCTTCATTTGTGCAGGCCTCTCCCAAGTTCTGTGCATTATTTTGCTTTCATTTTCTTGAAGAGAGTCCTTTTCCACTCCCAAATTCCATATTCCTTAGGCTCAGAGAAAATCTGGATCTACTCTTGGTATAGAGAAAAGTGGATCTAAATATATACAATATCATTGTGTTGACCAGTTATTAGGGAAGTGAGAAAAGATAAACTTTAAAGAGGGGGAGATTAAGATCAATATCATTAAACAGACTCTAACAAAGGACATCTTTAAATCTCTAAAGAAAAGGCTTCAGCAGCTAAAAATGGCTGTCAAAGAAAGTATGATATTAAGCTTGCCTAGATGCAGGAGCCCTGACTAGATGATTTCTCCAGAAAGCTTACAACTCTAAAATTCAAGATTTGGGCATTTGATGAGCCACTGACCCAGGAAGGGCACTGAGGTCACATCAATATTCAAGGCAAATTTCCTGTGAAATTAAGGATAGCAAAGAGCTAAAAGTATATACTGTGAATGCAGGGTTCAATTGTAGTGATCAGTTCCTAGCTGTATAAGCTTGGGAACACCACTTAACTACTCTGTGCTTCAGTCTCCTCATCTGTAAAATGGAACCAGTAATAGCATCTGCCTCACTGGACTGTCATAAAGACTAAGTAAGTGGATACGTGCATAGTACTTAGAATAATGGTGTGTCAGCTATTATGTGTCTCTAGCAAGATGGCAACAGTGGATGGTTAAGCAGTTTTTGTCTGTGAAAAGACAAGTTTCCACATACCTTCCCGTGGAAGGGGAAATTGGGGTAATAAAAATTATTGGTGTCTTCAAAGGTCATTGATCCCATCTGTGAAGAAATGTAGATCTCCCGAGTGGTATTGGCCTCCACTCCTGCGGAAGGAAAGCAGATGTATGATGATCTAAATACCTGATTATAGGTCCTCCCTGGTGGCACAAGGAGTTAAGCACCACACTGTGAAGCAATCCTGTCTCTGCAGCACAAGTTCAATGCCCGGCCAGGGAGAAACCCACATGGTGAGGCAGACCTCTCCTGTCTCGCCCGCTGCTCCTCTCAGCAGTGTATTTCAGTCAGTCTGTCTGTTCTGTTCCCCACTCTGTCTCTAGTGGATCCTCTCACACCACCCTCCCCCCTGCATCTCTGGCCTGTACCCCAGCTATTGTATGCATAAATAAATCTTTAAAAAAAAATACCTGATTATACATCATACCTGGACTAACACAAAATCCCTGAAAACACAGCCCACCAGAAGTATAAGGCTGAAAATATATCTGGCCAAAGAGCCAAATGAACTCTTCCTCCCCACACTTTTGGGGAAGTAGTGGATGGCAGGGTCACATCCTAAATATGAATGAGGGTCAGTATTGAACTCTTTGCCTGGGTCTGAACCTGGTGCAACCCTTTACCTTTCTCTTTTCCTTTTTTTTTAAATTGAGGTGAAATTGTATTACAATATCAAGTTGCAGGTGTGTGTCATTGTCCTTTCTTGTTTCTCAGAGAGCCAGAGAGAACTGCATTCACCTGTCCCTTCCTCCACCACAGTCGCCACAACATTGATGCTCTGACTGTACATATAACCAGTGAGGTTGAAGGTGGACATGTCCACTGAAGCTGAGAAGCATCCTGCTTTGTCCGTCTAGTGAGGCAACCAGACAGAAGACAGAGAGAAACGATGAATTACCTCATTTCTAGTTCCATCGCATAATGTACTGTAGAGGGAAATAATTCTCAGGTTCATACTTAATTTTTTCCATCTTTAAGATGGAATAACTCTCTTACAACATGGAGAGGACACCCACACACATACAATCATGAAACAATTCTGAAGCTCCAAGCTAGAAGGGAGGAAGAACTAACTCCAAAAGAGGAACACTATCTCACAAGGGTTTGAGTTAATTTCTTAATGCCAAAGCAGAATCTAAAAGACAAAAGAACACAGCTATCCTATCTGTTTTGTCCTATCTGTTTAGGACAAAAGAACACAGCTTTGTTCATTGGACTGGGGTAATAGTTGTGCAAAATGCTTCCTACTTTGGGCCTTTGACTACTTTTCTGTATCTATGTTTGCTTCCTGACTCTTTAGGACATGTGAATTGAGTTTCTTTCCTAGATGCCACTTACTCACCTGTCCAGAGAGTTTCTTGCATTTGTCAGGGAGCTGTTCCTGTTCTCCCTCTGGGCGCCAGTAAGTATAAGCCTTCTGACATGCGGACACCTGCACTGCCCCCAGCACTGGCTTCCCATAGGTGTACCTGGCCCAGGAGAGTAGGTGCAGAGAAGTCAGTCTTGTCCTTGGCTCCCACACTCCCCACTTCAAAAGTGCACTGACACTCTACCCTTCGCTTCCCACCTTTCTTCAAAGCCTTGGAGACTTGCTTGTTCCCAGTAAGTACCACTCCAAGGACAGAAATAGATCCAGTCTTTTTCCTTACTCCTATTTCTCCCTGCAATTCAATGTTTTGTACAAAGCAAAGACTAAATCACTAATGCTGAGTGAGTGAGCAGTGGAGAGTAGGAGCAGAAACACAATTAGAAAATGTGTTCTTGGAGACTCTGGCAACATTAAATAGCCCAGCTTTTGATGGCTGCATCTATCATCTCTCCACTAACACTCCTTATAGGCTGCTCTCAATGTGGCTTTAGCTTCCACCAGAACCAGAGCTTGGTTCTTACCTGCAACAAATTTTTATTGAGAAAGATTCCTCCACTGTTGATAACTGCTTGGGCTCAACCACCTCCACCTTAAATTTGGGCAGCACTGGAGAGAGTGTAAAGAGAAATGAAAAGGCAGAGGACAAAACCAGCGATAATGAAATCAATTGCTTAAAAACAATGAATTATTAAATTAGTAGATGTATTGATGTATTAAATATAAAATCATCTGATGAGGGGCCTCCCCTGGTGGTGCAGCAGTTGATCACTGGGCTGCGAAGCTGCCCGTGGCCTCTTCAGTGCTGGTTTTATCCTCAGCCACAGGTGAGGGTCCCACATGGTGCGGCAGACTTCTGCCGTGCCCGCTGCTCCCCTCAGCAGTGTACTTCATCAGCCTGCCTGCTCTGCTCTCCCCTCTGGCTCTGGTGAATTCTCTCACCCTCCTGCCCTTCTGACTGTACCCAGTGCTTGCATAAATATATAAATAAATCTTTTAAAAAAATCATCTGATGAATTAATTGAGTGACTGAGTTAAAGGGGAATTATGAAAGCAGCATGATCCTGAAGTTATTAGCTGGCTTAGCACTGATTCAAAAATGAATAATTGATTTTACTTTATCTTGGCTAATGTTCAAACAAGACAATGCCCCACACTTTGACCTGCTTATTCTCCCACCTACCATATTCTTCAACACTGAAGGTGCCAAAGGTCTTGCCCTCAGCCACTGCCACTGTGTAGGTGCCTAGTGTAGCCTCTGGGGCCAGCTGGAAGGATAAGTCCACGATGCCTTGCTCCGGCTGCACTTGCAGCCACTGTGCAATCCTGTTGCTATTTGGATCCTGTGTCCAACAACAACAACAACAAAAAAAACCCAAAAAACAAATGATGTGCCTGCCTGCTTGAGCCCTGCTCTACTCTGCAAAAGCAGGTAAAGAATCCCACCCATCATTCATGACCCTGTGATCTGTTCCTGTGGTCTGTGTTCAGGACAAACAGTTCCCTGCATTATTTATAATTTTCTTCATTACTGGATGAGGTCACTCTCCTATGGGGACTGCCCTCATTTGGAAAGAAAAGGATCCTGATGGAACCAAATAATCAGACTGAGTCCTGTTAGGTCGTATCAGCTTAGGAAGAGGGTTTATTCTATTCATGGTCCCTATTAAGGGAGAGTGTTGCGTTTATAAGATACTTGAAAGACAGCCACCTAGATGGAAAAGTGGAGGTGATGCTATGGGGAACTTATCTTTCCAATTCTTTCCTTCCTGAAAACTTTTCATAGACACTCAACTGTTAAGTGTCTGTGATAATAGATTTTATAAAATACGAAGAGGGTACAGAACCAAGCCTACTTGAACTGGCTTGGCACAGAGGAGTTAAGGAATCAGGAGAGTGTGGTCACAGCAGAGGTTGGTGTCTTTATCTGCAGAGGGTTAGGGCAAGAGCATGGGGGACGCAGGGAAGGCCACACATAAGAGGAAACTCAGGAAAGTCTCGGACTCAGGGCCTGGCCGAGTCTCGGGCTCTGGGCCAAGATCTCAGAGTTGCTTCTGGCTTCAAGATTTAGCATAAATTTTCATTCCTCCTTCTCCACAACTGACAGAAAAAAAAAAAAAAAAAAGAAAAAAGAAAAAACTTCTACTTACCTGCAGTTCTATCAGGGAGTACTGAAAAGGAAAACCAAAGAATTGGGTTAAGGTAGGATTAGCAATGAGGATAAGTTGGTTGAAAGCATCAAGTTCACAAAGCACTCTTTCTTTCTCCTTTACCCACTCCATTCTTTCTAAATGGCTCTTTCTTACCCCTAAAGAGTAACAATGGGCTGATTCTTGAGGAGGAGGGAGAAGAGATTTTCTCAAAGGGATTGTCAGTCTCCAAAAAAATGTGAAGAAATATAGCATTAGGCCCCTCAGCCTTCCTCAGGCTCTGTGACTGAGCTCTTCCACAGCACCCCCTAAAAGAAAGTGCTACCCTGGGGAAGACCCCCAATGTTTAAACCCCTTCTTAAAAGCCAACTACCCCCATGGCCACTTCCGGTACCATTCCAATGCCACTGGGCAGGAACCTTACTTTGAAGCACTGCAAAACAATTTCGAAACAAAATTTAACAGTTCTATCCAAGGATTGTATATAGTTTCCTCAAGAAAGTGGGTGCTAAAGTATTAAGTTCATCGGGGGAACAGGTATCAAATTATCCCTCCTAAATTACTAATTTCAATGACATTGGGGAAATTAGGCTGTCACCACTCTAAGTAATCAAATTTGTCACCCCTGATAATGGGACAAAGTGGCATTATGTGCCTCCCGAAGAGATATTTCTGAGGTTCACAGCATTACCTAATACTTATTTTGCCAAAAATATTTAACTTAAGTCCAGGTAAGACCTCAGACCTGCTTTCAGAAGGTAGGAGAGCAAGTCAGACTGCACAATAAGGAAATAACCAGACAAATCAAGAAAAAAAACCCTGATAGATTAAAACAAGTATGGCAAAATGAAACAAATGTTGAGCCTCGGTGTTAATTGAAAAGTCTAAAAATGTTGAAAACAAAATTGTTGCCCAGGAAATAGATTACTAGAATGTCCAGTAAAATTAAAATGTCTAGTAAATTAAAATCCTGATTAGAGATTTTACATTTATGGAATGGAATTCAGGGCATTATATATACATATATATATATATATATACACACACACACACACACACACACACACACACACACACTCTTAAATGATTAGCAACCAAATGAGATTGAAGGATGTAATTTAGGTATGGGAGTCTCAGATAGGTTACAAAGTCTGGGTCTCACTTGGAAGGAAGAGAGAATAAAATCTAGATTGGTGCTTGAGTTTTCTTTGATCAATACCATATGATGCCAACCAATGAAGAAGCAGAGTATCACTAAATACAAATGTCAGACTTGATAATGGCAAACCTTCAGAAAAGCCAAAATTATATGCAGCCACCTTGGACTAGCTATTGGGAACTAGGGGCAGAGCTGAGCATGCAGGTGGAGCTCTATAACATGGAAAGTAGGGAGGCTAAAAGGGAGAGCTCTGGTTTCCTTGGCCCAACTTGCACCTGGTACTGCTGGGAAGAAGACTTGGAGGAGACACGTGGAGGAGAGACATGTAGGTACATTTGGAAGAGACATGTGGAGAGACTGACAACAGCAGCCATTATGTTGGTGTGGTGTCACATTTTGTCCCAGCTTTCTGGGAGCTGCTTCAGAACCCCTTTCCTATGGTTCCCCACAATATGGTGCCCTTGTGGCAAGCTTTTGGGCCTCATTGTCCCCACTTTGGGCAAACTCTGCTTGAATTGACATTTACCTATGAGGGGAATAGGTAATCTGGAGTGATTTACTGGAAAAAAAACTCCTCTCTTCCTTCTCTATGCATACTAACTCTATTAAAGTTCTTTCACACTAAGACTCAGCTTTGCCTTTATGTGGCAGATGGCACATAAAGGGCACATAAAAGCTGTGGTCACCCTTGGACCCCATTTTAGAGCATGTAAGTTTGGGGCCCCCGGGTACCCATTGGTCACACACTAACATAAAGATTAATTCAAAGTGAGTTAGGTCTTCCACAAACGTGGGGCTACAGAGACAATAAGGAGGCAGATAGCACTGAGATTACTAAGGAGTGCCATAAATTCCAGAAAAAAAAAAAAAAAAAAAAAACTCTTCCTCAGATAATAAATGGCTTTTTCCCACACAGGGGATCAAGAATCAGGGGAAACAACAGCTAGCCAGAAGAAGCCTCTGGAAGGAAGTGAGGGTTCAGGCAGGAAGACAGCATGTCCAAGGAAGTTGCCTGAGGTTTCTGAAGAAATGAGCAGAGCAGTCAAACTGGGCATGGTCAGTTACCCACAAGAATACTTTAGTTCTGTGAAGATAAAATATTGTGCTCTGTAAACACGTTTGCCCCTCCGCTTCTTGGTAAAATTCCTTTTTCAGTGTTTTAAATTCAGCATTTCAAATTTTCAAGTTACAAGTTGGAAATTAGAGGAGGTGACGACCTTCTAGAGAAATGGAGTGGAGAGGCAGGAGTCATTTTACAACAGAAACGGAGCATAAATGTGGAAATCAGAGCACTCACCCTTCAGTAATCCTGCCTGATTTGAGCAGTTAAAATATTCTAACAGGGGCCTCCCCGGTGGCGCAGTGGTTGAGCGCTGGGTTGCGAAGGTGCCCACAGCCTCTGCAGCGCCGGTTCGATCCCCGGCTGCTCCCTGGCCACCGCGCAGACCTCTCCTGACGTGCTCCCCTCAGCAGTGTACTTCGGTCCTTCTGCCTGCTCTGCTCCCCGCTCTGGCTCTGGTGACTTCTCTCACCCTCCCGCGCTTCTGACTGTACCCAGTGCATGTATAAATAAATAAATAAATCTATCTTAAAAAAAAAAAAAATTCTAACAGGGGTAGTTAATGAGATCGACCTCCAGGGGGCAGTAGAGTTTAAGATAACTGGCTATCGTCACCCCTGGACCTGAGTGTTTCCTCTTTTCGGCTCTGGAATCATCACTCTGTTTAAAAAATAAGTACTCAGGGCCTCCCCTGATGGTGCAGCGGTTGAGCGCTGGGTTGCGAGGATGCCCGCAGCCTCTGCAGCGCTAGCTCGATCCCCGGCCACAGGCGAGGGTCCCACCAAAAAAAAAAAGTAAGTACTCAGTATTATACCGAACTCCCAATAAAGAAAGGGTAAATGTAATGGGAGAGAGAAACTAAAAGGATGTTAATCGGGAAAGTAGAGGAGGCTGCCTTTCAATGAGCTCATCACTTTCGTGTACACAGGCAAAGGGACCAGCAGCTCTGAGAACAAGGAGAAAAAATAAAATTCATGTTTCCCTATTGTGATCCTTAGAAGTTTCATTTATATATGAAGGCTAGGTCTCCCCAATACATGCAGAACAGGCATTCCCAAGACACTGGAACAGGTAGAGTATTTCCAGCTGAGTTCAATCAAGGCCCTGCAGTGTCAGGAGAAATTGTTATTGCACCGTTAACTACCCAGAAGAATGAAGATTGGACTATTATACAGAATTAAGGATTTCACTAGAAATAAGTTTTCTGTTGGAGAAATGTATACATGAGGCAGGGCAAACGTCTAATGACAGAGCATCTGTTCTTTGTCTTGAGGCCCCTCTCTCATTTTAACTCATTTGCTTTAGAAACCCTATTCACGGAGAGTCTCCATACACAGGTAATTAAGCTTGTTCTTTACTCTTTCTAATCTGTCTGGTGTTAATTTGTTTCCTCAACTAGCCCCCAAAAAACCCCCGAGATATGGGAGGAAATTTTTTCTCTTTCCCTACAATATGAGTTATGACTGAAGAGAAAAAGAAGGCAGACAGGTTTTCTGAGAAGTAAATATTTCAGAAGCATGTAGAAAGGGCATATGTCCTAAACTGAGATCTAACCTATGATAACCCTTGTAAATCTATGGACTGATTTTTTTTAATTTGCCAAATGTTACCACATTTTATTTCTGGCATGTATTTTTCAATGTTGCCTGAAGAGAACTGCTTTATAAATAATCTTGTCTCAAAGGAAAGAAAGATGGCAGGATGGATATTCTTATGTCTTCCTTTTATTAAGCACTCCCAAATTATATCTGAACTGCAAAGTCACTTGTCATTCCTAGAGAGAAAAATCTTGAAGTTTGCAAAAAAACTTCTTTTACAACTGCGGGGAATGGAACCATCTCTCAGGAATGTTAACTCGATAATGTTCTTGTCTATTAAACTGGAGAATAGATACCGCTGCTTGTTTTTTGGACAAATAGGGGCAGGTGCCCTGAAGCTAGCACAATACTCACAAGCTTCTGCAACCCCAAGGGCCTCCCCTCCTATCACCTGGAGAGCCTCCCTCTTCCCACCCAAACCTCACCTTGTCATTCACTGGAGCAAAGTTGCTGGTCAGGGTGACGATGCGAAAGTGCACTATGGGGAAACAGGTAACGTTAGCAAAGGGGATTTTCCCCCCTCTCACTCAGAATCTTTCTTGCTTCCACCCTTTCTATTTCCACACACATATTTCTGAGTCAGCGAAACCCCATCAAGTTTTACTCTTTAAAAACAAAACAAAACAAAAAATACCCTAGTCAGAAAGAGAGGTAAAGCCTCAAACGGTTTCTCTTCAGAGCTCTCTCTGACTTTGAAACCTGAGAATGGAATGCCCCTCGAAGGAACAAAGAACAAATTCAAGTAACTAAGCTTGAGCCAAAATCCCTGGAAGCTTTCTGTTCATAGCCTAGCAGCTGGCTGTCAAACCCAGAAATCCAAGGACTCTTAGAAAAATCTATTCCAGGAGAAATGTGTACTTCAGTTTTAGTTTTAGATACACAGTAGAATCTCCACCCACGAGTCTCTAGCTGGTAAAGCAGCACGTGTTAAATGCCTATAACATTTCAGCCCTTCAGACCTGCCTCTCTTCTTACTCCTCCTCCCAGAAGCCTCGGCCTCATCATGAAGCCCCCTGTATGAATGTGTCTCCCCTTTCTTTTATGTACCTCTTACCTTTCTGCCCTGTGTTGTAGACAGGTTTGTCAGTCTGGATAAAGATGCCATTCCCCTGCCTCTGAATTAGAACCTTTTTCTTCTCCTCAAAGTTGATATTCTTTCCCGTTCCTAATACCCGGACGGTGGCCACTTCTTCCGTGCCACCTGCAGGAGGTGGTACCTGGCCAAGAGAAGGAAGTTCTGGGGAACAGTAGGAGATTGGGGGATATATAAAATGAACTGGTCTCAAGTCAAGAGTGGGAGAGTAAAAGGAAAGGACGGAGTTTTTGGGGTAGCAAGGTAGAGGCATCAAACAAGTTGCCACGAAGAAGAGAAACCATAACAAAAGGTTAAGGTCAAATGCTAGAAGAAAAATGCAAGGTCAAGGAAACTGTGGATGAGTTATGGCCAGGAGATGAAGTTAGGTTTAAGTGAGGTAGATTTAAAAGCATGGCAAAATAAGGTAACAAACTTCATACTTGAAGTTAGATCACAGTGAGAGCCTAGGGAAGACAATAGGACAGTAAGGAATCAGAGTTGGAGCCAAGACTGGGCTTACCAAAAATGAGATGCAATGTAAGTGCCTCTTCTTCAATCCAGAGTGTTCTAGCAACTTCTGGATTTTGTCCTTGGTCTCCAGAGTAATAGTGAATTTCACATCACAGTACCCTGGGCTCAGATCCAAACAAACCTTCTGAGCAGAGGGGAAGTTAAGCTGGGCTGGTAATGTCACCAGATAGTTTCTATTAAGAAAGCAAATGGATTTCAGGATAGTAATGATTCATTCATTCAATGAAAAGCTAAGCGCTCTCCTAATCACTCAGCACATAGGAGTGAATTAAACAGACAGAACCCCTGCCTTTATGAGTCTTAGAGGAATCATATGAGGGAGGAGAGCTGGCAGTTTACAAAGAACCTACCACTTTAACCCTCCCATCATTAGGAGGTGACCATTGAGAACCTATGTTGAAGTTATTAAGGAGGAAATCAGTTCTATGACACACAAAAAGGTATAAGGATGTATTTTAATATTTAATATTTAATACTGTGTTTAATAATACTGTATTTTAATATTCTCTTTTTTGTAAAAGTTCCCATTGGCACCTCTGCTTTTCTCTCTGGGTAAAAGAGAAATGAAACAAAAGGAGGGAAAAGATGAGAAAGAAATTAAACCAAAAGTTATCTCTTCTCCCGACACTTATGTTTGAGAAAGACAGTCAAAGAAACCACCTAAGTTAACTGACACCAAGCACTTACGGGAGGAATTTTTCAGCAGTGGATGGCAACAGGGCCAATATTCCTAGAAGGAGTTGAGCCCACATCTTTGTGGGTGAGATGGACTCCTGAGCATCAGGAAGCAGAGGTCTGTTCCTCTGCTGTAGTATATATGTTGATCTCCCTGGGAATGTGTGGACCTATGGCTGGTCTCTAGCCAATCATCTACTGGGGCCCCAGGCGAAGGTGGTAAACCAAGGTAGGGCTTCTGTTCACTCCCTCAATTTTATTTCTTCCTGAAACATTCATACTGGCTCAGCCAGTCCATAATACCTGCTTTGGGGAAAAGCCAGAACTGAATATTCACAGTGTAATACTCTGGCACGTATTTTAGACTCCTCCCTTGTTTTCTGGTCTCATTCCAAATTCCCATCTCTATTTGATCTTATTTTTCTCTTTCTATTACTCTTTTTGGGAACACAAATCTGTATATAGTATAACAGAAAAGCAGGACACCACTATCTAATGGTGAATTTAAAATATTAATACTCAGTTCTGTTGTGACCATGTGGAAATAAGAACATAGACAGTCATTGAGAAAATACAAATGGACAACTTTTCTGAGAGCAATTTCACAATACACTTCAAACTACAGTTGGGGATTTGTAGGATTTGCATATTCTTTGATCCAGCAACTCCTATTCTGGAAATGTATCTTCTGAGGAAAAAGAGCACGCATTCATGCAAAAAATGTAGCTACATGAGTTTCTTCATATTGTTCTTTATAATGGGCAAGACTTGAAAGTCACTAAGAGTACAAATTAGTGAGGGTTCTTTCCGGGCCAATGATCAATCAAAACCAAACCACCTTAAACAGAAAAGAGTTTTTGGTGACTGGGCTGGATTAGACATGAAGAAAGAGCTGAAGGAAGCCAAAAAAATTCTGAAGACTTTACGTCCTAGAATTAAAAACTTGATTTTCCTGGGCCTCATTTCCTTCCATCTTTCAGTTTTACTTGCTTGTCTCACACTGCGCACAGGATTTCCTTTAAACAGTTGAAAGAATAACACCCTGTCACGATACAGAGCAATGGACAGAACCATCTAGATTCAGAGATGATCTAGATGTTAGAACTAACTATTAAAGAGGGATTTTAAAATGGCTAGGAGTAATACATTAAAGGATCTAATTAAAGGTGAACAATATCCATGAACAGACAGGGAATTTCAGGAGAAAGATAGACATAATGAAGTAAAATACAAATGCTGAAATTAAAGAAATTTGGTATCAGAGGTAAACAGTTCCTTCTTTAGTGTCACCAGTAAATGACACTGAAGAAAAAATTAACTAACCTTGACCTCGAAGATAGGTCAATAGAAATTACCAAACTAAAACATACCCACAAAAAAAGGATGGAAAAAAATGAACAGAACAGGACAATATCAAATGGTTTCACTTTGGAATTCTTGAAGGGGAACAGAACAAGCAGAAGAAGTGTTTGAAGAGATAGTAGATGAGAATTTTCCAAAAATAATGAAAGATATCAAATAACAGATGCAAGAGTCGTGGGAAATTCCAAGCAGGTTAAATGTTAAATAAAACATGCTTAATCCCATCATATTAAAATTGCTAAAAATCAGAGATAAAAAGAAAGTCTCAAAGGTGATCAGAGGGGAAAAATCCATTATATACAGAAGAACAAAAATTAAAGCAAACTTCTCATGAGAAACAATACTAGCCAATAAATTAGCCTCTTTAAAGTATAAAAAGACAATAAATTAGCCTCTTTAAAGTACTAAAAAAAAAGAAAAGGAAACCCAGAATTCTGTGCTCAACAAAGCTTGATAGCTCTGACATTCAACAAAAGACTTTTTCAGAAAAACACAAACTGAGACAATTTATTGTCAACAGATCTGTGCTACCAGCAGTATAAAAGGGAGTTCTTAAGGTAGGAGATATAAGAACAGATTGTCAAACTATGGCCAGCAGATCAAAGCCAGTCTGCCACACTTTAACTTTTCAATTAAAGTTTTAATTGGAACACAGTAACATTCACATGTTTTTGTGTTACCAGGTAGATTTGCACAATTACAAGATACTATCTGGCAGGCAAATCCTACATTATTTATTATCTGATCATTTACAGAAATTTGCTGACTCCTGGAATAAGACACCAGATAGAAACTGCACAGATAAATGAAGATCTATGGAAATGGTATCAAATAAAATAAATATTAAAACAGACATTTAAATCAATTTTTAATCACTCTCAAAGATAAATGGCTGCCTAAAGCAAAAAATAGTTCATTCCTGGATATAATGTAGCAACGAGGCATGTTTTACAGGTCAGGACAAAGGGAATGAAAAATGAGGAAACATTGTAGAACTTGCTCACCATGATTTCTTGGGCAATTTTTCCTTCTCTCATATTTTGAAGTTTGTGACTTAAATGTTTCTCCTCTTCTTTCCTTTGTTTTTTTTTTTTTTTTTATAGAGGCATGTTTTTTTTATTTATTTTTATTATTTGTTTGTTTGTTTTTTGTTTATACATGCACTGGGTATAGTCAGAAGCGTGGGAGGGTGAGAGAATTCACCAGGGCCAGAGCGGGGAGCAGAGCAGGCAGAAGGACTGAAGTACACTGCTGAGGGGAGCAGCGGGCGGCAGGAGAGGTCTGCGCGCCATGTGGGACCCTCCTCCGGTGGCCGGGGAGCAGCCGGGGATTGAACCGGCGCTGCAGAGGCTGCGGGCAGCTTCGCAACCCAGCGCTCAACCGCTGCGCCACCGGGGAGGCCCCTCTTCTTTCCTTTGTAACTTGTCTAAGTCACCAGTTCACTCAGCTTTTCTAAAATCTCTCCAGTTCTGAATCTTCTTTTACACTGGCCTTTTGATTTTAATCCAGAAAACTTTTTAACTTTGGGATCCTATTGGACATTATCCAATCCTGTGTATCTGAGAAGCTGGAGTGGTTCCAGTTATAGGGGCTTCTGTGGCTCCAGTGATGTATTAGTCATGCAGTGCAAAAAAAAGTAATGCCTGAGCTAGGGTGAAGTGCTTATTTACCTTAAATGTATTTCACTTGGATTTCTAGGAAGTTAATTTTACTGCAAAGGGGAATTTATTTTTTTCTTAAGATTTATTTATTTATGCATGTAAGAGTTGGTGTACAGGCCAGAGATGGGGTTGTGGGGGGGTGAGAGAATTCACTAGAGGCAGAGTGGGGAACAAAACAGGCAGACTGACTGAAATACACTGTTGAAGAGAACAGTGGGCGAGACAGGAGGGATCTGCTTCGCCATGTGGGTTGTTCCCCAGCCAGCCGGGGATCGAACTCGTGCTGGTGCTGCAGAGGCTGTGGACTGCTTCGTAGTGCGGTGCTTTACCCCTTGCGCCACCAAAGAGGCCCCTGCAAAGGGGAATTTAAAAGGGCTATTTACTGCCCTTGCAACCAGAAGATACCACTCTTGCAAAAGAAAGATAATGGAGCAAACAATCTGTATGATGAACACCATTTATTGGCTGTGTGACCCTTGATAAGTTACTACCTTCTCTGTGCTTCAGTTTTCTCGTCTATAAAATGAGGACCAGGGGCCTCCCTGGTGGAGCAAGGAGTTAAGTCTCAGTGCTATGAAGCTATCAGCAGCCACTGCAGTATGAGTTCTATCCCCTGCCAGGGAGGTGACCCACATGGTGCAGCAGACCTCTCCTGTCTTGCCCACTGCTCTCCTCAGCAGCGTATTTCAGTCAGACTGGCTGTTCTGCTCCCCACTGTTTCTGTGAATCCTCTCACCCCCATGCCCCCGCACCTCTGGCTTACAACCCATCTCTTGTATGCATAAATGAATAAAATAAGTCTTTTTAAAAATAAATAAAATAAAGTAAGGGCCAAAATAGCACACAACTTACAGAGTTGGTGTAAGAGTCAAATGTCTTCAGGCATGGAAAGTGCCCACTACAGTGCCTGAAAAATAGTAAGCTTCCTACAAATGTTCACCTTAATATTATTAAAAATTATGATGGCGAAGCCTTTCTTGCAGTTAGTGGCTTTCAAGCATCCTGAAGAGTAAAATAAGGAAAAATTTGTGAACTTGTTACATAATAATGTGACTGGGTTACCCTACCAAACTGTATACTTAAAATGGTTCATAGGGTAAATCTTATATCACGTATTTTTTTAACAACTAAAAAGTAAAATAATAAAGATCTAGAGATTGGGAGGAATTATAGGACAAACTTCTAGTATGTCTTAAATTTTGAAAAAAAATGCAACTTTTATTAAAAAGAAGATTTGTGGGTGATGTTTACTTGGGTTTGGGCACACTGAGGGTTCATCATGACCACCAGAAAGATATAGCAAAGCAGACAGGAGAGAGGCAGCTTCTTTGGACTTGCTTTTTGTTCATGCCATTCCCTTTGCCTGGACTTTCTTTTTCCCTCTACCTGGAGTATTTCTTATCATCCTTCAGATTCAGGTAACACCTCCAGGAAGGCATATAACCTGCATTATATTCTCCACTGCTTCTGTTAGAACTAGTTTCTCTTTCTTCTGTGCCCCAAAACTTTAGTACCTAATGCACTTGAACAAGGCACTAGTCATTTAGCCTGGTCATTCTTTCTCACATGTCTCCACCGCACCCCTACTGTAAAATTCTTTAGGATGAGAATCACAGCTTATCCAGATTTCTTTTTTTTTTTTAAGATTTATTTATTTATGTATACAAGAACTGGGGTGTAAGCTAGAAGTGTGGTGTCACCAGAGACAGAGTAGGGAACAGAACAGGCAGATCTACTGAAACACACTACTCAGGGGAGCAGCAGGCGAGACAGGAGAGGTCTGCTGAGCCATGTGGGTTGCTCCCTGGCCAGGCCAGGGATCGAACTCCTGCTGCAGTGGCTGGCAATAGCTTGATAGTGCTGTCTTTCACCTCTGTGCCACCAGGGAGGCCCTTATCCAGATTTCTTCCCCTCAGTCAGGAACTCAGTATGAATGCTTAAATGAGGATCAAAATGCAAAACTTACTCCACGTTTCATCGATCTCTTCACTACCTCCAGGTTCGTTCCCTCTGCTTCTGCTCCCCCAAATTCTTTCAATGTTTTTTCCCTCCTT